AAAACATTTTTTTTACATAATTTATTTATAGTCAGCAAATATTGTATAGAAACAAAATAAAACCTAATACATGCAAAAGATAATCTAAAGAAACTGGTGCTGATGGATCCGATTAGCGTATGATATAAATATTTTCTTTCGTTTTATTTTTCTTAACTTACCTTTATTCTTCATTGAGTTTTTTTTTTTTTCTTGTTAAGCTTTTGTTACTTTTTTTCTTCTCAATGTTTCAATAGGAACCTGTCCAATAGTTTTGCAAAAAAAAAAAAAAAAAAAAAAAAAAAATTGAATTGATTCATTTTGTTCTCATTTGCTGTTTATTGTGTGTTCTTGGGCTTGGAAATAAACAACTGTTGTAAAGTTTGGCAGAAGAATCTCAACTGACTCCTTCTTATTTAGGTGCCTAGTCTGAATTAGGTTCAAGATACATTTGTGACAAGAGTTTCCAGTTATTTTTATCCATAAAATGTATTGGTATAATTTTAGGGGCGGTATTTTTCGTGTCCTTGATTACTTAAATTGGTTTTCGCAACATGATTCATTTTGTTCTCATTTGCTGTTTATTGTGTACCCTTATGCTTGGGCTTGGAAAATAAACAATTGTTGTAAAGTTTGACAGAAGTATCCCGACTCATCCTTTTTCCGGTGCCTAGTCTGAATCACGCTCAAGATACATTTGTGACAAGAGTTTCCAGTTATTTTTATCCATTGGTATAGTTTTATGGACGGTATTTTTCGCGTTCTTGATCACTTTCAATTTTATTTTCATTTCTTTCACGAGCTTTTCTTAATTTTTTTACTATTATACGTAAACATTGAACGTAATGATAGTTGTGACATCACCGAAACCAGCAGTATCTCTACACAAAAAAATCGACCGAGTGATAGCTCGTATCTCAAAAAACTCCTATGAATGGACACTCATATCTCAAACATAACATCAATGAAACACATTAGCAATCGAGCTATCTGGTGAAGGTTTTCCAATTTTTATTTTAATATGGCATACAAATGCTATGATATTTACAACAGTAAGTTTCCAATGTGAGGAAAATATTATTATAGCCATAGTTAAATTATCAACATTGTTACAAACATTCAATTGTATTTAACAGATAAAAATGAAAAACGATTTGAAACCGGGATGGTTTACTATTTCAATACTGAATTTTATTCCCTTCTTTTATTCTACTGAGATTATCAATCATCACTTCTTGCTATAAAAATCTTCCAAACACAAATCCTAGATCAGATTTAACATATGCTTATTTCCATCCAAAACCATAAATCATTCCTCTAGAAATCACAAACGATACTTTTTACATTAGTTTCATAGTTGCCAACAAAAAAACGAAAAACAAAAAAAGAAACACGTGCTGAGCGATCGAAAGAAAATAAAACAAATAAGCATCAACAAAAACAAAAGCAAAAACAAAAAAACAGAATGTGTTGTGTTGTCTTCAGCCTGAGGTATCCCTATATATTAGAAGCCAAGGTATTGGTTCACAAAGCCGATAGGAGGTAGGGTTGAAAGGTGGCCCAGCCAATAACTTGGGAATTGTTGTGCGGAAGGAAGGATGGGGGATAGGTGGGGTGGGGTGGGTGTAGGGCGAAGATAATATTGCCCCCGGGTTATTTCTTCGTTTAGCAGTAGATGAAGAAAATGAAAAAACAAAATGAAGCATAAGAAATAAATAAAGCAGAAAGGAACATCCCTGCCATAATCATATGACCTTGGATATTGGCGGGGGTCTTATTATCAGCAAACTTTTGGGATTTGTTTGGCCAGTTTTTCTTTCTTCCGCTTTTATTGGATAGCAGTGCGTCAACTGTATGCTTAATTTGAAATTGTTATGAGTACGCCATGCCATAGTGATTATTAAGTCGTGCGAAAAAGGTACGGTAAAAGAAATTGTTTTTACAATATAGCTAATATAGCTTTACCATCTTTGAATGAACTAAAATTTCTATCAACTGTCATATAAATAATAATTATGGAATATGCTGTAAAACATTTGTTACTTACACTTGTGGAAGTTCTTCATACACCTCCTCGGCTTAAGTAAAGACTGGTAAATGATCCATAAATAGTTCCCAATTTTTTAATACAGACATTTTTATGATGGTGCAGTTTTATATTCTTTTGTTTTTGCTGACACTATTTATAACGTGATGTATTTAGTTCGATTTTAAGAACGATAATTTTCATTTAAGAAAATATATCGATAGTTTATGATGCTTGTTATCATATCGACTTGGATATGAAATATCAGTTAGTATCGTATTTAATATTAATATTTTGTAAATATTAGTATTGTTAATATTAATATTGTTATTAACAATATTTTTAAAAAAAAAGTTATTAACAATAATAATATTTTTTTAAAAAAATATTAGTTTTGAATTTACATAAAGTATCATCCTTTAAAATGAAAATAGCCTTAAACCATATGTTGATTTCTTAGTAAAAATAGCGAATATTTCTCTTTTTTTTTAATTGAAATTTCATGAAAAAAAAAAAAAAAAAAAAACTGAATAAACCTTTTTAATATTGTTTTAGTTTTCTAGAAATTATGTATTGATTTAACTTAAGAATGCAAATAATTATAAATTTTTTAAATGCAATAAAAATCTGCCTATTTTTCAATGTATATATACGTAAAATATAAAATCAAATTGCTCATACAGCTTTAAAGACATAATGTATAAGATTTTATTCTATATAACCAACATTAATAGCAATTTTTGTCTTATTTTTCTCATAAAATCCCAAAATATTATTAAATATTAAATGAAATAACTTTAAAAATTATTATTTTTATTCATTCATTAAACATACTTCGTGTCATCAAAAAATAAAATGGGAACAAATTTTTTAAAATTTTATGAACAATTAAAAATCTTTAAACAGTAAACTTAGCTATCGATAATAAGTGGTGCCTATTTAAACTGTTGCCATTCAGAAGAGTTCAGATTTAGCATTTAAAAAAACTACCACTTTTTTCAGTTTTTAAATCTTTACGGTATGATTTATTGTAACCCTTCCATCCTAGTTTCTTTTCTTTTTTTTTAACAATAAAATATATCATATTCTGTAAAACATTTCATCCAACACGAGTTAATGGAATGCCATCCTTTTAATTTGTTTCGAATGTTTTATTATTTTTGCAATTCCACGGAATGAATCCTTCCTCCTCCTTGGACGATGGCCAAGAGTGGACTTTAAGTAGACACGAGCACATTTTTGGCTTTCTAAAATATATCTCTTTCCTTTCATACGGGAGTCGCCATCAGTCATAGTGGTGCAATTTGTTTTATGCGCTTGTCAGAAACGTCTTCAAGAAAGAGAAAAAAAATAAAAATCTAAAAGAAAAAAAGGACTACTGCAAACATTTTGTTCCAATAAGAGAAAAACATACGTTTTTAGCACCCCTTTTAATATTTCCTTTTTAATCAATGGGATCTGTACTATGCGATCGAAATATCGCCATGGTACCGTCATCTATCTAAACCAAAACACAGTTCGTGTTTTAAATAGTTATATTTACAATAAACTGGGCTACTTTAAAATAGCATAGAACATTTAAATTATTACCTTTTACCATGAAGGAATATTTTTCCTTGAAATAACTCTTAATTGTTTTCAATTGAAATAAGAAATGGTTTTGTAGCATACGATTTATAATGTTTGAAATTGTGTATAATTTTTTTTTTAATTTCTGGGTGTATCTACGTAGCTCAATAAAAGAACTTATTATAATTAAATCTAAGAAAAGGATAAAATTTAATTTTTACTAAATATTTTCCATTAAATAATGAAGTTTAAATTAAAAAATAATATTCTTATACAAAAATATTCTTCAATTTTTACATAATACTGAAAAACTTTGTATAGTTGTTATTTACACAGAAAACAAAACAAATGTGACTGAAATAGCATTTTTTAAATAACTTTCTTGTGCTGTTATTATTATTTCAAATTTTCTTGGGCTTTTTTCCCTCGCATTTTGTTTTACGAAATGTATTCAATACAAGGAAAAAAAAGAAAAAATATTGAAATTTATATATCTATTTAATTTTATAAATGAGTGTAAGAAAGGTATAGGAAGTATAAAGAAGAAGTATGAAATTTAAGGTGAGGGTATGAAGTATAAAGAAGAACATTATTAATATATCTCACAATAGTTATTTTTACTATTTAAGTTATTATATCGTTTCAATAAATGTTAAATTAAATAAATGAAGCACAAATAACTACACACTATAAATATTATAACTTGTTTAGTATATATTTTGGTTGTAAAAATTTTCATAACCAGTAAAGTTTAACATGACATGAAAAGTGTGTACCAATAGTGAAATTTTGATAGACTAAGAACATGATTCAGAATCACATGATTTGAATATGATAACTCTGGATACAAATTATGATGTACTTTCATCATTTTCAATTTGTTATCCAATGGTAGTACATAAAACTAGCTTTCAAAAGAATAAGGATTTTATGTCAGTTATTGGAGTGCTGTATACCTTCTGATTGGAAAATTGTGTATATTCGGTGAAGATTATGTGAGATTGCCTGCATCGCCAGTCGAACTGCCTATTTGACAATTCCATTTAAAGTGTTCCACTCTAGTATGTTACAAGCAACTAACAGAAGGTACGGCTTTGTCTTCCGGAAGAACTTTTTAGAGTAAATTTCTTGGGGAAAAAAACTCGAAAAAATCCACCGCATAGTTTCACTATCGATGCGAGGCGCTTTATACACGCTGTTGCAATCCCCATCATATATTCTCTTCTACATTCTAAAATCAATGACTGCAAGGGACAGCAGAAGCGGATATGAGCCGGAGTCCTCTTGCACCCTAGCTGCACATACTACTACTTACTGCACATATTGCAAGATCACGAGTAAATCTAATTTAATAGCTAGACAAGAGTAATGCTGCTATAATATAATAACCAACATTTACTTCATATTTTAAGAAACAAAGTGGACAACGGCCGTACCATGCTGAATATACCGGTTCTCGTTAGATCACCGAAGTCAAGCATCATTGGGCGCGGTCAGTACTTGGGTGGGTGACCACCTGGGAACACCGCGTGCCGTTAGCAAATTTGGGACCTGAATGGCCGAGTGTCTAGCGCTCTGGCGCTCGGTGCCACAGGTTTCGGGTTCGAATCCCGGTGATGCCATGGATGTTTGTAGTGGTTCGGAATCCACTTTAAGCCGTAGGTCCCGGTCTCCTATGACTGTAAGAGCGTCACGGAGCAAAAGTTAGGCTTCTACCTACGGGTGCTCCATCACAACAGAAGCTGCTTCCTTCCCCTTCAATCATGAGCACGTATGGGCTCGTGGGCTTGGCCAGCCAAGTGGGATTAGAAACAACAAAACAACAAACAGAAACAAAGTGCATTAGTAAGCAATCACTATTGCTACATTTTCAATAGATCTTCATCAATTATCATTTTAAATTGAAATTTGTTAGAGGACTTCGTTCTTTTTAGTTCTTTTCTAATTTGATTTCTTGCATTGGACTAAATATCTTAAATTTTTTTTTGCCTTAGACTGTCTCCACCTGCAACTGTACCGGGACAGCAAGGACCGTTGCAAAAATGGCCCCACCAAAGCGTCCCTCTCCCTGGAAGGGTTCTTGGGCATGGAGACGGGCTTCACCCTGGACAAGGAGAGCAACACCATGGCTCTCATCTGCTCAGAAGTAGTGGTGGTCCTGGCTTTCGATTCCAGGGAGTTGCTCATACAGTGGCAAGTCAAGGTGCGGGCCAACTTGGTGGAAGGTAAGGAAACGTCAACTGAGTATTTTGCCAAAATAACTGCAAATGACACCTTCAAATATGCAATTTTCTTTGTGAAATTTGTGACATCTGACACGGCTAGTAAATTATAACATTCACGCTTCCTCCTATGCAAGGGTTGCCATAAATAATACATGGAGAATTAAACAAGATTTTGCACTGATAGGAGGGATGTTTACACCGTAGAAAAACATTGAAATTAAAAAGATTGAATTTGTCGATGTTGTAATTACGAGTAAAAACGAAGTACAAATATTCAATTTCAAATATCTAATAAAATTAATACTTGAATAAAAAAAACTTGCATATTGCTAATAGAAAATAAACCAATTAAATCATAAAAATATCCTGATTTCAGTTTAATGAAAAGACATTGTTGAAGTACCGCTCCTTATTTCCTTACAAGGAGGTAAAGGTAAAACCGAACAATTTGAAAAAATGCTTACAAAGTGTTAATAACTCCAGGAAAATAAATACAATTATTTTCATAATTTCTTAAGAATCTTCGAATTGTTGATAAAATATTAATAGAAGGAAACTCTATTTACTAAGGTCTTATTTTAATAACTGGTAACTTTAAACAGAGAATAAAAAAATTCCGTTACATATTCCTATTAATCATAGACGAAAATTATATTTGTATTTTTATTTGTAACGTACTTTACTTCAATTCTCAGAAAGATATCATAAAATTACATATTATACATTTTTCATTGCAATTTATTTGAAAATGTATCTGTTTTATTTGCATTTTTAGTTACAAAATATAACTTTACATTTAAAAGTAAAATATTCTAACAGCAATTATATTCATGCCCTAATGAAAGAAAAGTAAGGATACATTCTCTTTTGTTCAGTTGTTTTTAAGATTAAAAATTTTTATAATTAGAAAAGCCTCTTGTCATTCAGCGTCAACACATTACTTAATTACAAATACATCTTTGCAATGTTCTATTTTACTCATTACTAAGACAAAACGCTTTAAACAAAATTTCTGGTACGTAATAAATTTTAAAAATCTACTAGAATAAACTAACATTAACATTTTAATGAGAACCCTCGGTAAAGATAAAGATGTATTCAATTAAACTAGGCATTTCAGTTTACTTTGTCACAGAATGTATTTATTTTTGTTTTCTTTATTCAGGATATTCTTTTATTGAAATTCATTTTTATTGTGCAGTCAAAAAGATTTTTGTGCCTCTTTCATGAATATCTTTAAGAAATTCATCTTTTAATTAAAACGCACGTATTTTTGATAAAGATCTTTATTCTTAAGTAGATTTTTATTACATAAATAAAGTAATGTCGTAACAAATTTCAGGAATGAAAACATTTATGTGATTAATTATTTGAATTAATTATTACATTGCTTGTATAGTTTTAAATAAATATTTTTATGAATTTATAAAAATAACTACGAACAGAATATGTAATTAAATTTATTTTTCCTTTAATAAGAGTGTATAAAATATAATTGCAAGTGATTAAAATAGTTTTTTATCGTTACAAGTTTAATAAAAAATTTTAATTACGAATTATTTTATTTTTTTAATGTTCCTTTATATCATTAGCCATTTTTTATCATAAAATGTTTAATAAAAGATTTTAATTGCGAATTACTTAATTTTTCCTTGTACGATTAGTCATTTTTATTAATAAAAAAAAATAAAAGTAGATTAATAAAATTATAGTTTTTTACAACTTTACTATTAAGTAATTACAACTTTACTACTATTTTTTTCATATAACAAGACATCAAACCGAACTGTTAAATTTTATTTGAGTTATATAACTCACAATATTATATCACATATAACTCGCAATATTAAATCCCATATAACTCGCAATATTAAATCCCATATAACTCGCAATATTAAATCCCATATAACTCACAATATTAAATCCCATATAACTCACAATATTAAATCCCATATAACTCGCAATATTATGTCCCATATAACTCGCAATATTATATCACGTATAACTCACAATATTGTAGAGAACATGCTTAACTCACAATATTTTATATAACATTCACAATATTGTATGTATCACATATAACTCACAATATTGTATTTTATGATTAAAATATTTCACCCTAAATATTTGCTTCTATATAAAGGAAAACATTATTAATATTTTTTTCAAAAGCTATTTTAGCCATTTAAGATATTATAACCTTTCAATAAATGATAAATTAAATAAATGAAGCACAAATAAATGCATATTAGAATTATTTTAAAGCTCTTTACTTGTGTTAGTATACATTTTGGCTGTAAAAGGTTTCATGCACAATAAAGTTTAACATGACATGAAAACTGTTTACCAATAGTGAAACTTTTGATAGACTGAGAACATGATTCTGGTTGACATGATATGAACAAGATAACTCTAGATATAGATTATGATGTACTTCCACTATTTCCAACTCGTTTTCCAATAATAGTACATAGCTAGCTTGCAAAAAGGACAATGATTTGATATCCGTTAGGTGAATGTAATATGTCCGCTGTTTGGAAAATCAAGTATATTCGGTGGAGATTATGTCAGAGTGTCTCCATCTACAGTCGAACTGGCTGGTTGTCAGTTTTCTGACTTTCTTTAATGTCCCAAAGGTAAATAATAGGAATTGCTCATGAAAGTCTTCTTTGTCTCCGTTACATCCTAAGAGATAAATTACCCATCATAAAGTTATCAATAATTTATGAGTTCATTGAGAGAAATGTCTTAAGGGTACATGGACCAATACGACTTCAAATTTAACAATTTCATGGGACAATGTAAGAACGTAACACAAAGCAAATAAGAGGAATTGCTCATCAAAGTCTTATCTCCGTTACAGCCCAAGAGATAAATCACAAATTATAAAGTGGCCAGTAATTTATGTACAATGAGAGAAAAAGTTTAAGAATACATGAACCAAAGTTATCTAAAATTTTACAATTTCATGGGACAATGTAAGGACATATAATGGATAGTAAAAAAGAAAATGAGCATAAGAATACTAAAATTTGAACTGAAATTATTCCAATATAACTAAACACCATGATTAGAATTTTCTGAAAGATGTTTCATATCTTTCAAAGTATTTTTCCGTGTTCCTTCGAAGCTTTTTCCATACAATTTTATACTTGGTCAATTTGAGTACTCCTTATTCTGTCTAAAGGTGTCTTTTTCTCATCGAAATTTACAATTCTTTTCAATTTCCAATTTCTTTTTCCAACGATACATTTCTTAAAATCTTTATTCTTAGTGCCCTATTCCCACTGTTTAGAAAATCGTGTATGTTTGGTGGAGATTATGACAAAGTGTCTCCATCGCCAGTTGAACTTTCTGGCTGAAAGTTTTCTGACTATTCTTAGCATCACAAGGCAAATAAAAGTAATTTCTCATATAAGTATTCCATGTTTCCATTATCGCACAAGAGATAAATTACCAATTATAAAGTGATCAATAATTTATGAGTACAATGAGAGAAAATGTTTTAGAATACATGGACCAATGCGACCTCAAATTTAGCAATTTCATGGGACAATGCAAGGATATAATGGACAACAAAGAAAATGTGCATAAGAATACTAAAATTTGAACCGTATTCCAATAGAACTAAATACTAGTCTTATAATTTCTTAAAAGATGTTCCGTGATTTCCAAATATTTTTCTATGTTCCTTCGAAGCGTTTTCCCTGTCATTTAATACTTGGTCAATTTGAATACTCTTTATTCTGTCTAAAGAAGCGTTTTTTTTAAGTGCAATTTACAATTTTTTCCAATTCCTTCTTCCAAAGAGACGTTCCTTAATTTCATATTCTTTCTTATTCTCAGTGTGCTATGGACGCTGTTTGGAAAATCTTGTATATTCAGTAGTGATTATGCCAGAATGTCTCCATCGGCAGTCGAGCTGCCTGGTTGAAAATTTCCTGACTCTCTTCAACGTCACAAAGCAAATAAGAGGAATGGCTCATGAAAATACAGCCCAATTGATAAATTACCCATTATAAAGTGGTCCAAAATTTATGTACAATTAGAGAAAAGGTTTAAGGATACATGGACCAATGAGACCTAAAATTTAACAATTTCATTTGACAATGTAAGGATATAATTGATAACAAAGAAAATTTGCATATGAAAACTAAAATTTGTACTGAATTTATTTCAATATAACTAAATATTATGCTTATAATTTTCTAAAATATATTTAGTAGCTTTCCAAATATTTTTCTGTATTCCTTCGAAGCTTTTTCCATGCCATTTAATACTTGGTCAATTTGAGTACTCCTTATTCTGTCTAA